GTTTCCCCTTAAAAAAAAAATAAAGTAGTATGTGAGTGGATTTAAATAGAAATATTAAGTACATAATATTTACTGGTGGTACATTATTGCTACAGCAAAGATTATGCAAGTGTCACAAAAGCGAGATTTTTGGCCACGTGTCTGAGAAAATGTGGTGGTTCTGAGATGAAACTGGCTTCGCCCAGTGCCACGCGTGGATCCCAGCGACTTAAAGAGAGCGGTGTGCGAGGCTGGCAGTGTCAGAGCAGCGGCGAAGGCTCCTAGCTCCTTACATGTTTTAGTGAGGAGCCATTTGTCTGATATTCAGAGGACCGAGGATTTCATGATTATAAATTACCTTCCTTTTCCTGCTTGCTGTTCAACTTTCACAATCTGGGGGAAGAAAAAGAAAAGAAAAAGAAACTGCTGCTTGGATGAATTAAAACCAATGTAAACGTTTTCAGGCTTTTGCTTAGCAAAGCAGCCTTTCCGTTCGAAGCGGCTGCGGGGAGTGTGAGTGGTGTGTGTTCGCATGGCCGAGTTCTGTGACGTTTCACATCAGCCCTGCCGGGGTGTTTCTGATAAGCTGTAATACAGTTTTTCTGATAAGGCCGGAATTTTTGCTAAGAGACCTTTTGTGTTTTGTTTTGCTGGTTCGCAGGGTGGTGGATTATCAGGATGTTGTTATGGATTTGAGGTTAATCTCTTTGTAGATTGAAAGCCTGTGCTCTCTTACCTGCCAGGAAGGGAGTGTGTGTGTGTGTGTGTGTGTGTGTGTGTGTGTGTGTGTATGCGTGCACGGCCAAATTCAAATTTATGTTAATCTGCAGCTTCGCAAGAACTCTAGACCCTGCAGATTCAGCTAGAACAGCAGAGGATCTCACAGCCAGAAGCAACCAAGGAGATTGGTCCCTGTTAGAGATGAGACGGTGGAGACGTACAGTTGGTGGGTGGGGGACTTCTCCACGGTCACACAGCTAGTTAGTGGCAGAGTAGGACTAGCCCTCAATTTCCTGCTTCCTAAACCAGGGTGTCATTACTGTATATTATGTTATGCCACGGCCACCTTTAAAATAAAATAAGAACATGTTTCTTTGAGGAACTGTGCTTCTTTTCTCAAGGTCATACAGAAATCAGGCCTCTGTCTGCTAGGCCACGGCTGCCGAATGACTTAGTTCCCCTCGCTGGAGTAGTCACTGTTTCCTGTGACTTCCAGCAGCAGTTTGTGTGTGTGCACACTGTATGCATTTTGCTTTTCTGTTTTAACACTGTATCTTGAAGTTATTCCATTTTCATGCAGAAAGAACTTTTTTATCCCTTTTTATCTTCTTTAATTATTTTTTAATTCTCACCCGAGGATATGTTTAGAGAGAGAAAAGGAGAGGGAGGGAAGGAGGGGAGAGAGAGAGAGAGAGAGAGAGAGAGAGAGAGAGAAACATTAATGTGAGAAACACTGATTGGTCCCTTTCCATACGCATCCTGACTGGGCTAGAGCCTGCAACCTAGGTATGTGTCCTGACCGGGAATTGAACCTGCAGCCTTTCGGTGTAGGGGATGATGCTCCCACCAACTGAGTCACCCAGCCAGGCTTCATCCCGTTTTAAATTACCTTCTTCGAGGTTACATCTTTCTATCATTTGGTATAGATATTAGCATCTTTGAGTAGTAGTTTAAAAATTTCACATAGACTTTTCTGAGCTCACTTTTATTTACTCGTTCACCCAACCAACAAATAGTTTTTTGTTTGTTTGTTTTTTGTTTTTGAGGGTTTGCTTTGTGGGCAGGTCCTGTCCACATGCTAGGAATACAGTGGGGAGGGAGAGAGTCCTCACGGAATTGACTGATTGGTGGGGGTGGCCTGGAGGTTGGGGGAGAGCCTGGCAATAGATGAATAACACCAGAATTACTTAATTGTAATGCATTGGATAGTGCATGGAACAGAACAGGGAAGTATGAATGCGGTCTGATGCAGTCAAGGAGGTCGGGAAACCCTCCCAAGCACATGAGGCTTTACCTGGAGGGAATGAGTGGCTTTAGTTATGTGGAGAAGGGCCTGGGTACGGGTGGGGAGGAGCAGTGGAGGTGGAGGGAACAGCAAGTGCAAAGGTCCTGCGGCAGAAAGGAGTGTGATGCTTTCTGTGAACAGGAAGATAGCCAGTTTGGCTGGAGTCCAGTGAGAGAGGTTAAGCTAGAGGGGCAGGCAGAGCCCAGCCAGGCTGGCCTTGTTGAGGTTATTTAACTTTCCCCTAAGACAGGAGGGGAATGTCCGGCCCATGGGCCATATAAGGACCATGAAATCATTTGGTTTGGCCCAGCCAAAGCATTAGGGGTGAGTTAATTAAATGTTTGGCCAAACATAGCAGGCTAGTTTTTAAGTTGATAATTTTGTATGGCCCGCGAATGATGTTATAAATATCCAAATGGCCCTCGCTGGTTTGGCTCAGTGGATAGAGCGTCGGCCTGCAGACTGAAGGGTCCCAGGTTCGATTCTGGTCCAGGGCACATGCCTGGGTTGCGGGTTCAATCCCCAGTAGGGGGCGTGAAGGAGGCAGCCGTTCGATGATTCTCTCTCATCATTGATGTTTCTCTCTCTCCCTCTTCCTTCCTCTCTGAAATCAATAAAAACATACTTTAAAAAAATCCAAATGGCCCTTGGCAGAAACAAGGCTCCTCACCTCTCCCCTAAGAGCTGTGGGAAGCCATTTCTGAGCTCTCACCTGGGGGTGGGAGGCGCCGTCTGGACCCTATAAGATCAGCTCTGCTAAGCCCGACAGCATCTCCAGGATGGCCTGGAAGGGGAACCAAGGAGGTTGAAAGTCATTTGTGCAGCCACCCTACTCCCCCAAATGGGCCAGCCACACAACTTTAGGATGAGGCCCCCTGTCTGCCTGGCAGGCCCTTGGGCATATATATTGTCACTTACTTATTTGCTCTGTCACTCAACAAAAGTGTATGGACAATCTCTAGTGCCCGTGCTAGGCGCTTGGCAAACAACGCTGAGTGATAATAGACATGGTTCCAACCTCAGTGGAGTATAGACCCTAGTGCAGAGTCACAAACTTCTACAAAGGGTCGGATAGTGGATTCTTTAGGCTTTGTGGGCCATATGGTCTCCGTCTCAGCTACCAACTCTGCTGTTATAGTGCAAAAGCAAGCCATAGACCATACGCAAACAAATAGAGGAGCAGCTGCGTTCCAATAAAACTTTATTTATAAACACAATCTGTGGGCCGGATTTGGCCCAGGGGCTGTAGTTTGCCTACCCCTGATCTAGTGGGATGGAATTCCCTAAACAGATAAATATCTGATGTGATGTGAGCTGGTAGCTGGTGCCAATGGAAAAAGATGTCAGGGAAAAGGGGTGGAGAAAGACACTGGGGTGAGGATAGAGATGGTCTTTTTGATGGGCCAATCTAAGGAGGTCTTGGCTGAGCAGGTACGTGAAGGAATCAGGGAAGCGGCCAAGTAAAGACCTTCGGGGGAGAGTTTCCAGGCAGAGGGAGAAATGCACTCAGGAATTCAGAGGCAGACTGCTTGATGGAAAGCCAGGTGTCCCTGGGCTGTTGCTGAGTCAGGTTGGGGAGAAGAGGGGACAGGTGGGAGGGGCAAGACAAGCCAGGGCCCGAGGACAGGTGTGTTAAGAAGTTTAGATCACATCTACTAGTATAATGTCCGGGAAGGCCTTTAAAGTGGATTTCAGAAATGGATGTTTCAAAAGACTGCAGTGTGGGGAACAGACCACACAGAGCAAGGCTGGAAATGGGGAGGCCAGGAAGAGGCCGCTACAGTGGCCCAGATGGGAGGGGACAGTAGTTTGGACCGGAGTGGCTGTAGTGGGGAAGGGGTGACACATGAATTTGGTTTATAATCAACAGTGGCGGTCAGGATTTCCTGATGGCTTGGACGTCAGGATGTGACAGAGAGGAGTCCAGGCTGAATGGAGGGGCCTGTGCTGAGCTGGGCAGGTTGGAGGAGGAATGGGTGAGGGGTGGTGGGAATGGATAGCTGGTTCCCTTGCTAATTCCAGTCTCTAGCCGTGGGGCCTTTTGAGGTGGCAGCAGTAGCCTGCGCTAGTCGGCTACTATGAGAGAAGCAATTAGGGTGTCTCCAGCTACTGGCATGGTAGTTTGGAAGACTCTATAGCCAGAGCCTTGCCTTTGGGGGGCCAAGTGGTTTGTCTGTGGGATTCCTAATCCTGCCAATTCTGTGGTTTAGGGTGAATCTCTTCCTCTCCCAGGGCCTCAGTTTCCTTATCTGTGAAATGGCACAAGATAAGACATGAGTCAGGAATTCTGGTTCAGAATTAAGCTACTTGTTATACTCGAGCATGGATATTTGAGGTTTGACCCCAGAGCTCCATGCACTCCAGGCCCGTGCATCCTCCCTCTGCCTCCCGTATCTGTGTCAGACATGTAGAGCTATGAGGTGGGCCTAGGTCTGAGTTTTTCAAATTGGGTGTCATAGCCCACTGGTGGGACAGTAAACCTGTTGAATGGGTTGTGACCAGCCTGTAAGAAAAGTAACCTCAGTTGTGTGTGTGTGTGTGTGTGTGTGTGTGTGTGTGTGTGTGTGTGTGAGTGTGTGAGATGAGGGTGTCGCATGTAGCAGGGTAAGTATTGTTTTGCGAAGCCTTTGTTTCAGCTGGGAGTGAATATGACGGCGTGAGCTAGGTTGTGAAATAAAATGCATTTCTTCTGACGGCCCCATTGAGACAAGGGTTTGGAAGTCACTAGCCAGGTGGTCATCCAGGCCTCCAGCTGACGCTTCCCAGCTTGGCCGGGCCATGCTCAGTGCACCTGCCCTCAAACCTTTCTGCTGTGACCTTGCCCTTCACGGAGCCTGGGATAAAGCAGCCCCCTTTCCTTCTGGTGAGGGAAGTAGGGTCCAGCCTGGGGTTTGGTGTGGTGGGGTTTTAAACAGTAAACAAACAGCAGGAGACAAACCCAGCCTGTGATTGATCTGCTTTGGGAGTTCTGTTCTAGAGGCTTAAAAAGACCTCCCCTCCCCCCTTCTCTTTCCAGAAGAACCGAATGCACATAAGGTCGCCAGCCCACACTCCGGACTTGCATACCATGACGATGTCCTGGACTATGGCCTCAAGCCATACAACCCCCTCGCCAGTCTCTCTGGCGAGTCCCCCGGCCGATTCGGAGAGCCGGATAGGGTAGGGCCCCAGAACTTTCTGAGCCCGGCCAAGCCAGCGGGGGCCTCGGGCCTGAGCCCTCGGATCGAGATCACTCCGTCCCACGAACTGATGCAGGCAGGGGGGGGCCTCCGCATGAGAGACACTGGCCTCCTGGGGGAGCAGGCGCCCCTGGCGGGGGCGGCCGCCAGCCCGAGGTTCACCCTGCCCGTGCCCGGCTTCGAGGGCTACCGCGAACAGCCGCTTTGCTTGAGCCCCGCTAGCAGCGGCTCCTCTGCCAGCTTCATTTCCGACACCTTCTCCCCCTACACCTCGCCCTGCGTCTCGCCCAATAACGGCGGGCCCGACGACCTGTGTCCCCAGTTTCAAAACATCCCTGCTCATTATTCCCCCAGAACCTCGCCAATAATGTCACCTCGAACCAGCCTCGCTGAGGACAGCTGCCTGGGCCGCCACTCGCCCGTGCCCCGTCCGGCCTCCCGCTCCTCGTCGCCTGGTGCCAAGAGGAGGCATTCGTGTGCTGGGGCCTTGGTTGCCCCGCTGCCCGGAGCCTCACCCCAGCACTCCCGCAGCCCCTCACCGCAGCCCCAGGACGACGGCGCCCCCGCTGGGTACCCCCCAACGGCTGGCTCTGCCGTCCTCATGGATGCTCTGAACAGCCTCGCCCCGGACTCGCCTTGTGGGATCCCCCCCAAGATGTGGAAGACCAGCCCCGCCCCGTCACCGGTGTCTGCCGCCCAGCCCAAGGCCGGCCTGCCCCGCCACATCTACCCGGCCATGGAGTTCCTGGGGCCCTGCGAGCAGGAGGAGAGGAGGAACTCGGCCCCCGAGTCCATCTTGCTGATGCCCCCGACGTGGCCCAAGCCGCTGGTGCCCGCTATTCCCATCTGCAGGTGAGTCGGGCTTTGAAAGTTGAATTGTTCTACGATTTAGTGTCAAGAGATGGTTTTCTGGCTGTGAGCATGGGGTTCACAGTTGGCCAGACTCTGAACATTTAAATTCCAGCTCTCCGTTTACTGGCTGTGAGACCCTGAGAAGGAAGTTAAATTCTCTGAGCCATAGTTTCCCCATCTGTAAAATGGGTATAGGTGTACATGACTTACTGGGTGGTGATTTTGAGGGTGTAGTAATAGGATGCATGTGATTGTTCATGTGGCACTTGGCTCATCATTCATTCATTTACTTAACAAGTATTTATCAAGCACCTATCAGGTGCCAGACACTGTTATAGGTGTTGGAGAGACAGTGATGAAAAAAGTGGGCAAAAATGTCTGCCTTTATGGAGCAGGCATTCTCATAAGCAGAAAGCAAGTCTTTATGTATGCATTTTGCTATCTTATTATAAGACTAGAGGCCCGATGCACGAAGATTCGTGCAAGAATGGGCCTTTCTTCCCCTGGCTGCTGGCACCGCCTTCGCTCTGCCCTCTGGCCTGGAGCCGCCTGTCCGCCTTCCCACGCTGCCCAGAGGCCCAGAGTGACTGGGGCGGCCGGAACACCTGCATTGTTGCCATGGCGACGATGCAAGCATCCCACCCTGTCCTGACCCCGGGCCTGTCGGCACCTGTGTATGCAAATTAACCCACCATCTTTGTTGGGTTAATTTACATACCCACTCCTGATTGGCTGGTGGGTGTCGTGAAGGTACAGTCAATTTGCATCTTTCTCTTTTATCAGTGTAGATGTCTTATTTGACATCTGCTATGTACCACAGGACTGCAATCAGTGATAGGGAAGCCCTAAAAAATAGGTGAGCCCTAATCCTTAGGAGTTTAAAAATCTTGATAAGCTGAAGAGTTGTAGATAGCAGCCTGTAAGCTTTGGACTCTCTTAGGACTGGATTTGAGCCCTGGCTCTGCCATTTACTGGCTGTGTGATCATGGGCATCTCTGGTACTGCCATCCTACTGAGCCCATCAGACATCACCAATCCTGCAGGACCATCTTTCTCACTGTACATTTTTTCATGTCATGCCCAGGGCAGACATCACTAATCAATCAGGACCTTCATTCTTACTGAGCACCTTTCTGGGCCTTGGTTCCTCCTGTGAGGTGAGGATGATAATAGTAACTTATCTCATGGTGTTTTATTTTAAGGGTTAGGTGAGATCATATTTATCAAGCTCTTGGCATAGAATCTGCACAAAGTAAGAGCTCAGAAACAGTGCAGCGTTATTGTCATAGGGTAATCTTTGTCTTCTAGAGGCAAAGACAAGCTCTGTGCTAGGAGACTGAGCTCCCAATAGCTTCAGAGTCCTGATAGGGACCACAATAATCACTGATATTTAAGGACTCTGTGCCAGGCATAATTCTAAGTATCTCTATGTATTACTACATTTAATTCTCACATAAACCTGGTTTCGTATTATTTTTATTTTGATGACAAGGAAAACGGGGCACACAGTCAGAAGCAGATATTAGTCTATCTGTTGTATTAGATGAAGAATCTGAAGCGTTATGCTATTATCATATCCTAGTGGTTTTCAACCTATCATTTGATTTTAGCATATGGGACTCCCCCTTTTCCCCCCAAATAAAATATTGAATACCAAAATAGATAATGGTAGAGAGAGAGGGTTTTGATTGATGTGGGGTTGAGAGTAGCCAAGGACCCTGCCCATTGGCCTAACCCCACACCAGACCAAAATGGACCCTGTAAAGCTTCCAGTCTGACTGAGAGCACTACTGCCATAGTAGGTCGGCCGATGTCCCTTAAGGAAAGGAATGTCTGGGTTCAATAGGGTTAAACAGGTGCCTATGTGCAGGGGACCCCCCCAGCTGTGGGCAGAATGTGCAGTGATTTCGAAGCTCATTTGGCTGCCGAGTTCTGAGTTCTGTGGCTCAGGTTTCACAAAGCTACCTTAGGACGTGGCGATCAAGACCAACCTCTGGCACAGGTTGAGAAACCAGGGCTCAGAGAGGTGACACGACATGCCCGTGATCACACAGTCAGTAATGACCACATTGGAACTTAGAGTCCAGGATGCCTGACTCCTCGTCCTTTCTGCTACAGATCAATCTCCAAATCATGGCCTCTCTAATGACTGGCAATGGGGAGGAGCATTAATATGAAATATGGTTGTAATACATTTATGTGAGACTTCATTGTTTATTTTGTGAAATCCTTCCCTCTCCATTCTGTGGCTTGATCTGAGAGGTGTTAGAATCCTTTGTCCCCTACCAGGTGTCAGTCTGTGCCAGCCAAGGGGATATTGGTAAGAATTTTCTATCAGATTGAGAGGATAGGGGCATTCAGGAGATCTCATGATAATATCTGCTCAAAGGTGTGTGGACAGCTCACCAGCCGAGGGCTGGAATTCCAATGCAGGATTTCAGACTGACCTCAGGGGTCTGATTCTTAATATTTTATTTCAGCTGTCAAAGTCTTATTCCAGAACAAACAAAATTTGATATTGATGCTTACAGACATCCCACTGAATCTCCCACTCACTAAATTTTTAATACTTCAAGAGACACAGGGGTGAAGTGATTTTTTTATGAGCCTTATTTTGCAAACTTAATTTTTTTTTTAACTTGCATAGATGATGAGAGTGGGAATATTTAACGTCAGTGGCACCTTGGTTGTAGGCAGCAGCTTGTTGGCATGTAACTAAGGTAGAATTAAAGGCATTGTAGGCACCCCAAGACTTCAGGGTAAGAGGGGCTTCAGGGGGCAGTGTGGTGGGAAGGAAGGATGGAGATTTGCTTGTGGAGTAAAGATATAACTGTAATTGGATTGAAAGTTCAAGTAGGACTGTAGCACTGCTGGAGTTTATGGGTTACCATCCCCTTCCGTTCTCCCCTTGATATGCCTCTGATAGAGAAGGGATGGAATTAGCTTCATTGCAAGCACTTAACTAAGTCAAGTGGATAATGTCAGCTTCTACTGCTCTAGGCTTAGTGGGAAAGCATAGCCTGATTGGATTGATGATTTCTGCCATATGTAAAAAATCAGGACATAGTGACACAAATCCATGCACTTGCAACTTCAAAGCTACAGTGAATATACAGAGATTCTTTGAAATAAAATTGCTCATTCACTCATCCATCCATCCGTGCATCCACCCACCCACCCACTGCATATTCACTGGGAACCTATCAAATGCCAGGCATTGTTCTAGAGTCATTCCATAAATGAGGTAATTTCTTGGACTGATTTTAAATAAATTAGTAAGATAATGAGGCAGTATGGAGTTGTGGATGGAGCCCTGGACTGGGAGTCAAGAAACATAAGTTGGAGCCCTGACTGTGTCTTGCTCTGTGATCTTGAAAAAATGTAGTGAGGTTCTCTGAGGCTCTGAAGGAATGAATAGTCTAGATAGATTGTCAAGACCTCAGTCAGCTCTTAAATGTCATAATTCTAATCACATATCAAGTGCCTGCTGTGGGTGCTGAATAGGGTTGAGATTCTATTATAAAATGAAACTTAATGGTATGCCCTCAAAGAACTTATAGCCTCAGATGTAAAGGCATGCATATCTAATATTGTAACTAACTCAGATTGTCTATAGGAAATAACTATTTATTTGAAATATACAATATGTACAGGAAAATTATAGCTAATAATTTTGGAGCACGTACTAGTATTATGATAGGATCTTTTATATAATCTCCGTATCCCCATTTCACTGTTGAGAAAATTAAGGCCTAAGGAGGTAGAGGCATTTGCTCCGTCACACAGGTAGTTAGAGGTGGTGCTGGGACTTAAACTTGGGTGTGTAACTCCAGTCATGATCTTGACCTTTACTCTTCATTTAATATTAGGGAGTCTGAGTGGTTTGGCTCATTCCTACCAAAACCAGACACCTTTCTGTGGTTGGATGTTTTATACTTGACATGATAAATAATAACTGTGACTGGAACTCTCCTCTCTCTAAAGTTTACTTTGAATTGAGATCATCATACATAGAAATGAGAGCTTGGCGGTGATACTCTTTAAAATTCCCAGAGAAAAGAAGGTCCGGCAGTTAGAAACACGCTAGAGCTAACATACTGTGAAATTAGCTTCATGAATTAAGATGTCAGTCACACTGTCTTCATCAAGACGAACGAGGAAGCAAAAAGATCTCCATCTTGTGAAGAGCCCCACCTATCATGCCTGAGAAATATGTGCCTCCCAACAGTCAGCGTTTTATTCTTATGCTCATTGGACATGATTTTCAGAAAGTGAACCATTTACGTTTATTGTACAGGTTACCTGATTCTGATTTATTGTACATACGACTGTTTCTGTTTCCTCCTTCAGTATCCCAGTGACTGCATCCCTTCCTCCACTCGAATGGCCACTCTCCCACCAGTCAGGCTCCTATGAGCTTCGGATTGAGGTGCAGCCCAAACCACATCACCGGGCCCACTATGAGACAGAAGGCAGCCGAGGGGCTGTCAAAGCTCCAACTGGTGGCCACCCTGTAGTTCAGGTATGGACTTGAATTATTTTTATTTTGTTTTATTTGTTACTAGGTGATTTACTTCTGCTAAACCACTGCCTGTGGCTTGTCAGGTTGAGGTCGGTGACTCAGTCTCTTACTCCTCTGAGGGACGGGGCATTTAAGATCGAATCAGTATCTGAAACGAATCAGCTACTAAGACGCCAGAGAAGAAAGTCTTCTTGAGCTGGATAAGGATAGAAATGACATTCATGCCCCAGCTATGTCTTCCCTTCTCTTTCTGAGCGAAAAACTGCTAGAGTTCTGCAGATGTGTGTGTACTGACAGAAGGTTTCTGAAGCCATCATTTTGTGTTTAAATTTTAGATGAGCGTGTATAGAGGAAAGTCAATATACTCTCGTAAAATATAGGAAAGTAGGAACAAATTAAAACTATGCATAGTCAGCCCTAATTGGTTTGGTTCAGTGGATAGAGCGTCAGCCTGCAGACTGAAGGGTTCCCGGTTTGATTCTGGTCAAGGGCACATGCCCAGGTTGCAGGCTCGATCCCCAGTAGGGGGCATGCAGGAGGCAGCTGATCAATGATTGTCTCTCATCAATGATGTTTCTATCTCTCTCTCCCCCTCTCCCTTCCTCTCTGAAATCAATTAAAACAAACAAACAAACAAAAACTATGCATAGTCAAACTACCTAAACTAACTGTTATTAACATTTTGATATATTTTCTCTTGCCTTTTTTCTATTCACAAACATGGCAATATCTACTACTGTACATTTATATACTTGATGTTTTAGTAGTTTGTACTCTGATTTTTTAAATTTTTTTTTTTTTTTTTTTTTTTTTACTTTGTACCATGAGCATTTCCTCCTGTTTTTTCTTAGTAGTTATCTTTTATGTCTGTGGCTTTTACTTCAACCTCAGATCTTTTTTTTTTCTTCTCAAAATAAGTACAGTGTTCTTTCTTCTCCAAAATGTTTAGGGTTGAAATATTCTTAATTTTATTGTCTGGTTAACCAGCAACTGCTGACTACTGCCCACCAACCAACCCAACCAGACCTTCAATACATTTAAATTAATTTAACATTTTTTTGGCATTTGCCTTAAAGTGTAAGTATCATATGGTAATAATTTTATATATGATAAGAATCCAATGCAGTGTACATCAGAACTCTCTAGAGTTGTTAAAAATACAGATTCTTGAGTATCACCTAAAACTACTTAATTAAAAGCTACATGACATGAGTAGAGTTCAGATAACAAACCACAAACCCTAAAATCTTGACAGACACTTTGGCTATATACACCTGGTTAAAGACTTTTATGATAATACTAGTGGCCAGGTGTATGAAATTTGGGCCGGGGGTGGGAGTGGGGGAGGGTGTCCCTCAGCCCAGCCTGCACCCTCTCCAATCTGGGACCCCTCGGGGATGTCCAACTGTTGCTTTAGGCCCGATCTCTGTGGGACCGGGCCTAAACCAGCAGTCAGACATCCCTCTCACAATCTGGGACTGTTGGCTCCTAACTGCTTACCTGCCTGCCTGCCTGATCGCCCCGTAACCACTCTGCCTGCTGGCCTGCTCACCCCCAACAGCCACCCCCCACCCCCGTCGGCCTTCTCGCCAACAACTGCCCTCCCCAGCTGGCCTGATCTCCCCCAACTGCCCTTCCCTGCCAGCCTCATGGCCCCCAACTGCCCTCCCCTGCCGGCCTGGTCGCCCCACGCAGCCTGGTGTTCAGTCGTTTGGTTGTCCCTCACTAACCCCCCTGCCAGCCTTGTTGCCCCACTCAGCCTGTTCGGTTGTTTCGGATGTGACGGTTGCTTAGGCTTTTATTATATAGACTAGAGGCCCGATGCACAAAATTCATGCAAGGGGCTTGGCCCTCGCAGCCCCAGCTTCATCCAGAAGATCGTCCAGACAGTCATTCTGCTGTTTGGCCATCTGGTCTAATTAGCATATTGTGCTTTTATTATTATAGATTAGGAGCTTTTAAATCCTGGTAGCTGCTTTTTCTAAATCTGACATCACAGACATCTTGGGATCTGTTTCTATTCATTGCTTCTTTTCCTTGACCACAAGTCACATTTTCCTCTTTCTTTGCATGTCTAGTAATTGTTGATTGTATTTTGACATTGCCATGATAACATATACTGGACACTGTAGAGACTCTGGATTTTGTTATCTTCCTCTAAAGGTGTCCTTAGTTTAGGATGGGAACCTCCTGGCTTGGAGGATGGCATTAGTCTGTGTGTTGGAGTCAAAGCCTTTGATAGGAATAGGGAAACTCATTCAAAACAGATTAGGAAAAGGGGATTGTATGAGGAGGCTATGGGGCTATTGCACAAAACCAGGCCAGTAGATTCAACTCAAGAAGAACCCAGGCTTGGGAAATCACCCTCTAAGTCTTACTTCTTTGCTTAGTCAATCCATTCAACAAATGAGTTCATTCTGCAAGCATTTGTTGGGCACCTACTTTTTGTCATATGCTGAACCTGATACTGAAATACAGTGAAGAATAAAACAGAAGTTATGATCTCTTTAATCATGAGCTCGTGTTCTAGAGGGAAAGAGCCAATGACTAGTCACACAAATGATAAAATTCGAAACTGTGGCAAGTGGCCTGAAAGAAAAGTGTGGGGCTCTGGGTGGAGGAGCCAATGTAAGTGGGAAGAACATCTGTTAAGATTTCCCTGAGGAAGAGATGTAGGCGGAACAGCATGTGCAAATGCCCAGAGGCAGAAGGAGCAGAAGGAGCCACGTCAGAGGACCATCGGAGGCCAGTGTAACTGGAGTCTGAGGGGCTAGAGAGAGAGTGGAGAGAGGCAGAGCATGCAGGGCCTGGATAGCCACGGAGAAGAGTTTGTGAAAAGCAGGAAAGAAGCATGGTCTGACTTAGGCTGTGATAAGACCCCACTGTGATTGCTCCTGTGGGGGTAGTAGCTGAGATAAGGAGAAGAGTTAGGGGGCTCTATCCTTTCAGGGCTTCTTCATCCTCTGATCACTCAAGAGATGTCTGTTGAGCGCTACTATGTACCAGGCACGGTTCTAGATTCTGGGACAGGGTGTGAACAAACAGCCAGAAGTCCTCACCCTCACGAGCTTACAGCTGAGCAAGGTAGTAATAACAGTAAACTCTCAGTGAGCACTCACCGCATGTCAGAATCTGTCCCAAGTGCTGTATGCGTCAACTTATTTAACCTTCACCAGAGCCCCATGGAGCAGGTTGCAGTCAGGTTAAGGGGATGTCAAGGAACTCATTCAAGGTCACAGTTACTGAGTGGTGGATGTTGGATTTGGACCCTGGGGTCTGGCTGCACCACTTTCCTGCTCCTCTGCGTCTCTTTGCAGACCAGCTTTCCTGCCAGTCACTCTCACCAGGCCGAGAAAGCCCGGTGGGAAATTGCCCACGCTCCCCGCCTATGAATTGTATATGCTGTTCCGATTTCACCCGCCTCACCAGCTCATTGGAGTCCAAACCCTGATTCTCAGGGAAGTTCTAATGGGCCTTGGTTGGGACGGGTGCCGTCCACTGGTCCAGTTAGCTTGGCCAGTGAGGTCCGGCCACGTACGGTGCTCACCTCTGCTCACTCATTCATCATGGCTGGGGCCGTGGGAATTTCCAGAGAACGGGCGGGATGTGCAGTTCAAAAGACTGCTGTAGAGCACTTGAAGGTCACACCCCTCCTTCCAACAGCCCCCAAGGATCGTTCTTATTCTTGCTCATAACTTTGAAAACTCAGTGTATGACTGAAAAATTTGTAGCCATATCCTCAGAAAACACAAAGCGAAGTTTCTTTGTTCATTTGCGTAGTTTGTGTGCTCTTCAAAAATGAAACGTGCAAACCCCCGGTTTTTAGCGTAGGCAGTCGGGTTTTAATGTTTTCTTTGAAAAATGAAGAAGAGAGAGACCTTAAGAAACAAGTGATCTTAAGCGTTAAGTAGGTGCGAAAACCCCTTTTGAAATCTGGAGGGTACCCCCGTGTTCCCAGAAGAGCAATGAAGCCCCCTTTTGTACCTTGCTAGAACCTTCTGCTGGTTTTTCTCTTGATCTCTGTCTCTCTCTTTATCTCGCCATCTGTTCCTATTTTTGTACTGAACCACGGCTCGCTTCCCCCCTCAATCACCCGTCCCCACCCTTCTCTCTTTTATTTGCCACACTATGAAACTTAATCTTTTTGTGCATGCCTAGTGGTTTTATGCCCCTCTTTATGTGAAAATAAAACAAATACAAGATCATTTCATTCTGTTCCTTCACATATAAGATTTAAAATCTTAAGCATATATCACGTTCAACTTTTTTTCTTTTTTTTTTTTTCTGTCCTGAATGTCATTTAGTCTTGGAAGAAAGTTTGCTCCAAACTTTAAATGCTTTTCAGACCTCATGACTCATTCCTTTGACGAATATTTTGTTGGGACCTACTGTGTGCCAGGTGCCAGTAGTATAATGAGGGGTGAGATGGACACAGTCCCTCCCTGATGGAGCTCAGATGGGGGCGGGGCGTGCAAAGTAGACCAGGATGGTTTGGCGTGACCATTACTGAGGTGCAGGTGGGTCAGGGAGGCCAGGCAAGGGCAATCTGGAATGACACGCGGGCTCTCAGGTAAGTTGTGATGGCTGATGAGGAGCTCATCTGTTGGATTCACAACCTGGGGGTAACTCCTTCAAGAAAACCATGCCAAGGGGGTACTTGGGAGACCTGCATTAGAGGGAGGGCCTTGCTGAGGAGGTGACCTACCAGCTGGAGCAGGTGATGGAGCCAGCAAAGAGAAGCATCACGCTCTGTCTTGCTCTGTCTTGCTGTCTTCTTTTGGTGGTGGTAGGAGCACATGCAAAGGTCCCAAGACAGGGGAGAACTCGTGTGTCTGAAGAGCTGAAGGGCGGCTAGTGTCACTTGAGTTTAGCCAGGACATGCAAGACTCAGAAGCCAAGTTGGGGAGCTAGGATTTTAATCCAGGGCAAGGGGAAGGGAGTGACAAGTTTTGAGTAGGGGTGGAAGGTGATTCTGATTTAATATTTTTAGGCTCACTCGG